GTTTAAGACTTTTATGCACATAAAGTAGAGATAAGAAAACCTACTGGAGTCTTGCATCTCATCAGCTCCCCAGCACACCCAACTTGTGCATGCCTCTCAAATGAGATAGCATATGTTCAGGCAGGATTAGCCGCTGTCTTGCTTCTTCACAGTTGCTTACAAACACTGGAATGCTTTAAACGTATAGTTCTTGAAAGTCAAGCCTCTGATATCCCTCTATAACATGTGTCTGTTTATATTTGGAATTCAACATAGCTCAATATTGAACATCCTTGATTGTGTCAGGATATCACTGCTTTCTTTTTAAATGAAGTATATAAAGGACTCCAAGTCCCCAAGCTGATTGAATACCATCCCTTTGTGAAGTTTCAGAAATTTTTGTGAATCAACAATATTTAGTTCCTCATTTTCTCTGCAGACTGGATATAATAGTCCTGATATACATATATATATATATATGTATATATATATGTATGTCAGGACTATTATATATTTATTATATATTTATATATAAAAATGATTATATATTTATATATAAAACAGATCACATAAAAGAAAAGAAAAGAAAAAAGAAAAAGAGATTTGGCTAATTCAAGGTTCTCGAGCTGTTAGGGCAACAACCTTAAAACATGACAAAGCCATTAGTCTAACGTTCAGAAACTTAGTTTGTAAGCCTTGGCCAGAATGCTAAAATCTTGCTGTTTTCCAAATCATTAACACTATCAGTAGCATAGACACTCAGCGTGCCCAGCCGGAGGAAGCTGAATGTCTGCTTTGTGCTCTTTCATCCTGTGTCCTTCACCAGCATGGTTGTGTTTTGCACGTTTCAGGTTTCCCCTCCTCACATCCCACAGCTTTGAGGGGGTCTTCAGGAGGGAGGGGACAGGGTCATGCCAGCAGTCTCAAAGCAGAAGTAAACGGCCTAGGCAAGCAGAGCTTTCTTTGCACACATAGGAATAGTCCTGTTTCAAAAGTGAGCACGGCAGTATTCATTTAGGAATCTTTTATTAGGGAAAAACTTGAGGGCGAGAAGCAATGCTTTCTTCATTTCTTCAGTGCATCAGCAAATTTTCAGATTTTCACACACGCTTTAAAACTGAGAGGTCCTTCTGTAAGGGAGCATATGTAAGCCATTGGGAGGGGCCAGGGAGAGGGAAGGAAAGAAAACAACTTTGGGTTATACAACTCCGTGTCCTTAAAGACAGCTTGGAGACATGGAAACCATATGTGAACTCTTAGCTAATAAAATATAATGCCAAGATGTGGTGTCTAAAGCTATTGCACCCAAAATGTAATTGGACATATGTTCATTTACTTGCTTATAATCAAAACATTAAAAAATTGTTTTGAACTCGGCTAGGTGTGAGTATTGGACTAACTTAATTTATGTAATTATCTCACGTGGAAAAAATGCATCGGTGCCCTAGTATTATTATTACATCGAGGAAAGTAAATAATGTATAAGCTGGAATAGATAATGCTTAAGCAGAACCAAACGGTGCCTATTGATCACACTGAAGCAAGGAAAACAGCTTATTAATTTGACCCTGCAGTTGTTCTCCCGTGAGCATGCTCTCTGCAGATTTACTGTGGCAAGGCAAAGGAATGTCAGTCTGTTTGAGCAATCAATGCAAATTTCATTTCTTCAATGAGAAATCACAGCTTTTGTGTGTCTGCTAAAATTGCCAGGATGTTAGGATTTGGTTGCTCGGCACAGTTTATTCACTGTACAAGCCTAAGTTTCATTTGTGAGTTCATTCAAGAATGTTCAGACAGGGGCTGGGTAGAAAGCTCCATAGGTAAAAGCACTGGCTGGTCTTGAATAGGACCTGTGTTAAGTTCCCAGCACCCACATGATGGCTCACAACCATCCCTGACTCTTGCTCCACGGGTTCGGACACCTTCTGAACTCCACAGGGATGAAGTAGACATGTGATGTGCACAGACACATGTAGAAAACATACTCAGGGACATAAAGTAAGCAAATATGCTCATGCCCCCAAAAAATTTCTGAGAAAAAACAATCCAAGTAGAGTCAGGGTTCCCCTACCTGAAGGGTCTTCTGGGTCACTTGATGCATTTTTCCCCATTTATTGATTTGTTTGTTTATTCCTCAGTTGGTTGGTTTATCGAACACCTAGAGAAAAAACACATACTAAAAAAATAGGAAATACACATCATCGTTCTTCACGTTTTAGATACAGGTTAAATAGTAGTTTTCCTCATTATTAGGCACAGACAATGTTTCCCACTGTCATTATTTATGTTATATTCTACATAGCACCATGAGTCTTAGCCACAAGAAAAATCAATAAAAGACACCCAAACAGGAAAGGATGATAATCATCACAGGTAGTTGAATAGATTTATATAGAGAAAGCCCTGAACACACACACACACACACACACACACACACACACACTCATACACACGACATAAATGTAAATATGTTGATTTATTAAAGTTGTAGGATACAAAGTCAATATACTAAAAGCCCCAAATTTCAGTCTTGCAAGAATAGGTTCTGAGAGTCTGAGGGGTAACATGGTGGCAATAGTTGATAATAACTGTACTATAACTGAACAGAAAATGTTTTATATGTTCTTACTGCAAAATAGAAAAATAGAAAGGTCACTCTGTGAGATGATATATGGATACCTTATATTGGAAGTGGTAATAATTTAGCTATGTTCATATATATATGTGTGTACATATGCATAAATATGTATATGCATATATATCAAAAGTCAACAGAAACTAAATACAAGAGCAAAAACAAATTAAGTGGATTTTTGTAATTAATCAGTTTTGAGGAAAAATAAGAAATCTGAATTAATCAATAATAAAGAATTATTGAACTGAAAGGAAAAAAAAACCTAAAAATGAATTTTCTCCATCAAAACAAGGTCACACAAGAAGCAAAGCGAAAACAAATTAAATGTGTGGAAATGCTATGTGAGCCAACTTTTCAGCCTGCTGGGATCACAACATAAACAGAACAACAGTGGCGGGACTTGGAGATGTGGAAATGCCACACATTTCAAATACTTCACATCCTGTGTGTCTCACTACTAATTTATTAAAAAGATTCAACACTCACCCATCTGTATGTAATCAACAACTCTCAGAGTGTATCTCCTACCTTTAGACAATAAAGAATCATCACAGGGTAAAGTCTTTCAGCAGAATATATTTTGGGGGCAAGCTAACTTGAAAGGCAGATGACAAACGTATTGGCAAGGGCTGTGGGGTAGCTCCATGGGGAAAGTGTCTGCTGGACAAGTGAGGATGCTGTACAGATCCCCAGAACCCATGTGAAAGTTGGGTGGCAAAGTGGCCATCTGTAGTCCTTGTATTTGGGAGGAGGAAGCGGTAAGAGTTCCCCAGGGCAAGCAGACTATTATACTAGCCAAGTCAGTGAGTTCCAGGTGAAAATCCTTCCTCAGTAGGCGGAGAGAAAGTGAGGAAGACACTCGATATCAACATCTGGCCCTCATAGTAGTGCACACACATGTGCATATGCACTACATTCATGTGTACCCGCATGCACACAAACATGCATCCACACATGCACAAACTTCCCTACACACACACACCACTGACACCCCAAATATGCGACCAGGAGAAACAGAGTCATGAACTGGGAAACAAGTCAAGACCAGAAAGAGTTAGTTCCTTACAGACCTGGAGAGAGTTGATTAAGTTAAGAGACAGTGCCAAAAATCAAGACGTGTATGAAAAACAACAACAAAAAATTAAGTTGAATCAAAATCTGAGAATAAGGGTAGCATTTTGGCCTTTTGGGTTTTGTATTAGTACTGTGAAATAAATCAATTAAATCTTCAGCTGTCTGGGGAGGAGGAAGCGAGTGGGTAGTGTTTATGGAAGCCATGTGGAAGGCCCTGTGGTTCCTTCACGTTGTCACTTTTATAATGGACATCAGCAGCAACCTTCAATAAAATGATTAGAAGTGGACACTGACTTGTGATTATGGGAATCGGGGCAGGGGCTCTCTATCCATGAGGTTTCACCTCTTACCCAGAACTGTATCCAAGCAGCCGAACTCTTGCTCTCCTTCCACAAGGACATTTGTAGGTGCGTGCACAAGCAGGAAGTGAGAAGATGCTTAGCATCTACAACAAACTCAGAGCACTGCAAACCTCTCAAGGTCCATGCACAGTACTTAGAGGGGATAAGTCTTCCCTTGCACGCAGCCAGTGGAGTTATCAACTAGACCTAACCAATTCTCAAGGTGTCTTCCAGGTTCATATAGCTCACGTCAGAGTGGTGGAAGCTAATCATATTCCCAGCATGCACCGAAGCTTGTATAAGGACGCCATGAAATCTATTTGCAAATGGCCCTTCTACATCAGGCAATAAATTATATCAGCACAGGGGCAAACACAAAACAACACAAAGCATAAAGCACGGGCATTGGAGGCAGACTATCTAGATTTACGCCATATCTCTACCAATTGCTATTGTATCTATCACTTTTGACCAAGTGTCTTTTTATCAGAGCCCATATATTAAAGCAAAAACAGTAACAGTATTGTATTTCTTATGACTTAGGAATATAACAAAATTTAAATGTGTTTTTATAGGCAATGTGCTAGACTAGTAGTCAGCACACGTGTAAATCCTAATGTTATAAGGATTGAAGCACCTGGCTTGTAGAATTCTATTTAACTTCATCCAGCCAGTTACTAACATAACTGGGATTTAAATCCGGATACATCTGGCTTATCTCTCATCGCAGTCACAAGACACTCACCACGAGAGCTGGAACTCTCTCTGACTGTCCCTTCAGCTGGCATACCACAGTGGATCAGCCTCCCAGAGCTCCAATCTGCTAATGCCCACGAACTTTCAAACAACACTTGCTGTCCCCTGACCTATGTGGAATTCAATGAAGCTAAGCTGCAGATTTGAAAACTCAACTCATTCAAAGGAAACCAAAAAGTCTCCATTTCCTCAGAGAAGCCAGAATGGCTCTTTCTTTTATTTGTTTGCTGCAGATCGTATAACCTTCCAAGGAAAAATGTGTAAGACTTGGGGAAGTCATTGCTTTTCAGTGTTGAAAAAAAATGACATGATAACTGGACGGACTTGGATCCGGAGGAGGCAAAGAGCAAATCAAATCAAGAAGCATTTCAGCCATACTGTTGAAGTTAGAAAAATCTGTTACCAAGTTGTGGAAAGAAAACAACTGGAGGAAATATCATCTAAAGTCGACCGTTTCCAATCACTGGTACTCCATTCATTATATGCTTGAGTGGTTCCAGGAACAACAGAAGACTGTGCGCTGCTACAACGCCAAGGACAAGAAAGGCACCACAGCCTGTCGGCCTGACTTCCCCTCAGTCAGTCCTGACATTTCAGGCGCCACTTCCCTTGCCCAAATGAGCTCGTCACTTGAGAAGAGAGCTCGCAGCCAAGGGCTTCTTCGTCCAGCGACTCCCCCAGTTCTCTTAGAGGCCCTCTGTTGCTCCTGCGGGCTTTGCACACGGGAAGCACTTGAGAGGGACAACCGGATGTGTCCGTCAGTCCATTCTCGTTCTACCATCTCTTTGTCTCTCACAGGCACATTTGAGGATCTCTGGTGAGCAGGAGCCATCTCTGTGCGGTAGGCTCTTTACACACTCCCTTCAAGTCACTTCCGTTCTAGGTGAGGGGGGGGGGCTGGCACTCGCTTGATTTGGAGTGACACTGAATTGATGTTGAAGTGTTTTTAAACGAATATTTAATAAGTATGGTTATTATACATCCATGACTTTTACGTGGCAGAATTGGGATGCTTCGGGAACATGAAACACAATTTGGAAAACAGTATACACTAAATAATAGTCCCCCATTAGAGTAGAGGGGGAAATACAAAACTGCTCTTTGTTTGAGCAATCCAGAAATCAATGCCACCGACAGAACTAAAACTCTGGTGCAGAAAGCCTCTCGCCGTGACAGTGAGAGAAGGATTGCGCGTGTCCAGTAAAGGTCTCGTTAGGAAAGAATGGGGGGGGGGGGAGAAAACTGCTTGGTGGTCCTGCATAGTCTTTTTAGTAGATGCATTGTCAGAGGCCAAAATAAATAAAACACACAGCTATATTGAGACATTATTTTTTAAATTCTACTTGACATCCTGTTCATTTGAGTTTCACTTAAACGTTTATGCTGACTTATTCACCAGAGCCTAAACACATGTATCCCAAAACCTCTTTTGAACACTCACGTAGCAATGTTTGTGGGCCAAAGCATAAATGAGACTTCAGCTTGGTAGGCCATTCCTAAATATTGTCTAGATAGTAAGTTTTAATCTAAAGATCATCTTAAAGCTATATTAAAATTAGTTGTTTGAGCATATTTGTTCATTAGAAAGAAGGCTATTTGCTTAGTGTTGAGATGACATTACTATTTTTCACAGCAGGTGATGTCTGCTATAGAATGTTGGACAACCTTGAAGAAAGCAAAAAACACACTGAGTTTTCAATCATCCATTTAATAAGCAGGCCAAAGATAGTTTATAGATATTGGTGGTGGTGATAATGTGTGTGGCGGTAGTTGTGATGTGTGTGTGGTGATGGTGATGGTAGTGGTGGTGGTGGTGTTTGTGGTAGTAGTAGTGGTAGTGGTGGTGTGGGTACTGGTGTTGATTTGTGTGTGGTGATGGTGTTGCGATGGTAGTTGTATTGGTGTTGATGGTGTGTGTGTGTGGTGATGGTAGTGTGTAAGGTGATGGTGGTTGTGGTGGTGATAGAGGTAGTGGTGGTGGTGGTGGTGTGTGGTGCTGGTAAAGGTGTGTGTTGATGGTATTAGTGTGTTTGGTTATGGTAATTGTGATGGTATTGATGGTGTGTGTGTGTGTGGTGGTGGTGATGGTAGTGGTGGTGGTGTACGTGGTAGTAATGGTGGTAGTGGTGGTGTGGGTACTTGTGTTGATTTCTGGTGGTGAGGGTATGTGTTGATCGTGGTAGTGTGTGTGGTTTTGGTAGTTGTGATGGTGTTGATGGTGTGTGTGTGGTGATGGTGATGGTAGTGTGTACAGTGATGGTGGTCGTGGTGGTAATAGAGGTAGTGGTGGTGGTGGTGGTGGTGGTGGTGGTGGTGGTGCTGGTAAAGGTGTGTGTTGATGGTATTAGTGTGTGTGGTTATGATAGTTGTGATAGTGTTGATAGTGGGATGTGTGTGGTGATAGTGATGGTATGTGAGGTGATTGTATGGGGGGGGGCTAGGCCAGAAGTAAACCTTGGGTGGCATTTCTCAGGAGCAGACCACCTTGCTTTTAATGGGACAGTCTCTATCACAGGCTCTGATTAGGGTGGGATGGACAGCCATTGAGCAAAACCTTTCCTTCTACCTCTGCCTCCAAGTGTTAAGATTCCAAACATGGACAAACATCTAGCTTTTTTATGTGGGGGATCCAACTCAGATATTCATATTGTGGTGCAAACACTCATCTGTCTCCTGCTTTTGGGTACCAATTTTTTTTTATCATTGATTTTGGGCTAAATGTAGTTAATTATTCCCGTAGCTATCCATTATTCTCCTCTGCAAGATGTATTAAAAATAAGAAAAGCAGCGCCACTGGTTCACTTTCTATTTTCTATTCTGTGGAATATTTTGTCCTACTATTGTTAGCTCAGGAAAAAATACATTTATGATGAACTTGAGTTAGGGAACAGCTGGTGTTGAAAATGTTTCTCTTCCTTAAGCCCTCTCTGCTGCTTATACAAACAGAGAAGACAGATATGTTTTCCCCAACTCAAAAAGAATGGAGGGAAATCCAAGAAAGCCAGCACCGCTCCTACACACACACACACACACACACACACACACACACACACACACCTCTAAAAGTGATGGAATGTCCACCTTGCTGTTCACTGCACATTTCAAACTAACTTCTGGATTCATGGTATTTTCCAAATGTTGGGTCGTTTTTCAAAGGCTTTAGCCTCCCAAGAGGTAGGTGAGGATGAATTCCAGTTAAGAAACTTTTAAATGTAGTTTTAAGAGACAAAATGGCAAGCACACAATTTGGATACTGGCATTTCTTGGTTTTCCAATGAATGCCCCCAACTCCACCCAGTGATTGCACTCTTCAGCCCCCTTCCTTGATTGACCCTTAAGTCTTTCAACAAGAAGTTTGGGAAAGACAAGAGCATTGAAAAGTTGCCAGTTAAGAAGTCAATTTGGAAGTTGCTAAGCCAAAGCTGTGTACTTAGAACTGCTGGTCCTGAGTATGTGTTTGAGTAATCTATTAAATGGTATTAACATGGACAGTAAAACTCTTGCATTATTTTCTTCCCCGGGGGCACATAATGCAAAACTTCATTGACTGGAGCCCTGTTTGGTAAATGGGGCAGAAAATGCCTGTGGACCTGATGGAATGCGCTAGAGAAAGTGGCGCATAAGATGGTATATAAAGTCTTAATGGCATTGTTTCGGGGTTCTGAACGTGCAGCACAGTGGATATGGTTGGATTCTTTTAGGGAGCAGCCCCATTACAATTAAGACATCAGCCAGATCATTTCCAGGCATGCACACGGATGTGAGGCATAGATTAGAATGCATTTCATCAAGCTTTAATTTCATTTGCAGCCCCTTAAAAGTTCCATATCTCTTAAACATGCTGCGGGCAGCCTGTTATCTGGTGGAACGGAAAACAGCATGCCCGCTCACCAAATAAAAGCCCAAATAAAACCCAAACCTGTTTTCGCTTTCCAGGCATGGGTTTCATTGCGTCTTCCACCCACCTTTTCTTGCTGCCAGAAGCTCTAATGAGCACCAACTCAGGCCGAACGCTGCCAAGTATGAGCAGGTGGGTTTAATGGGATGTGAGATGTAGCTTGCCTGTAAACCAGACTACCATTTCCTGGCAAGTTTGTGTGGATATTAGGAGGAGAGAGAAGGGAAGAGAAAAGGGGAGAGGGGGAACAGGGAAGGAGGGAGGAGAGAGAGAGGGAGGGGAAAAGGAAAGAGGGAGAGAAAAGGAGAGACTTTCTAATCATGCTTATAAAAGAGACTTAAATCACACAATTCAGTATAACTACTTAGTCTATTGAACCACACTGCCACGTCAGATTTGATATGTTTGGAAATCTTTCCTCTCTTTGCTACATGTGACACAAGAAAATCATCGCTATAAATTATCCACTTTGATAAAGCAGATGAATGGAAACTAGACCTATGATTACCCATTGGTTAATTCCTTCATTGATTTAAATACCCTCCCAGCCAAACCGTTTTGAAAATAAGTATTTATTTTGACTTATCTCTTAGACAAATCAAAGCATGAAATGGTGGAGCTGGGGATATAAAAACATAGTTATTTCATGGATATGTTTGATTATCTGCACATTTTTAACAAAGAGATCTGATATGTAGATAGCTCATTCTGGGTTTGGTTTAAATTATGTTGCCTGTATATTCTGAGGAGGAAAAAAACATGCTGAACACATTCAGGGGTGAGTGTGAGGATCATAACAGATGACGCGCTGTGGAAGGCATTTGGGGAGCAGTGGAATGTTTCAGGCTTTAGGCCTGTTACTATCTTCCGAGGTAAAATGGTACAGGAGAATCAGTCAACTCTGACCCATGCGACCAAAAGTTGTGTGGCTCTGGGCAGGTGACTTAGCCTCTGAAGGATGGAGGTTTCTCCTTATTTTTTTCTTTTGCTAATTTAAATGCTCCATCTAATGCTTCTCTTATCTCATATAGGCTTCACCTATGTGAGAATCAAAGACATTTTAAAGCAATTTTTAAAAAATGTAAAGCACAATCAATAATTTTTAACTTGTATCTCAATTCCTAGTCCCCCTGTAACCGGTGAGACTGGACTGCTATCTGTAATTTTGCAGGACAAAGTGCTTCTGGTTGTAAGACATCCAGCTCACAGCTTCCGGGTAGTTTTCTTTATGGTAATTGGATTATAGATTTATGTATGCTTTTTTTACATTAAAAAGAAGTTTACATTGGTTACATATTTGTAAATACTTCCCAGAAGGTATAATTTCCATTTTTATTTTCTTTGGAAGCACAGACATAGTTATTCTTGTGTTGTTGTTGGACTTAGTTCTTTGAGAGTTTCAACTTGCCTGCAATATATTCTGATCATATTCAGTATAAGAAACTTTTACTTATAGATAGGTCAACAAGACAGAGAATAAATAAGGACACACAAAAGTTTCAAGACCTTGATTTTGCCTACATGGTTTTCAAAACATTCAGTTTTATATTTTGCGTGAGAAGCTTTAAGCTATCCATCACTCTAAGGAAAAGGGGCCATTTTAATTTTTGAGGTTACATTTATTGAACTGTCTCAACTTCCCAGTTGCCTGGCGTGACATTTCAGTTCTTTATCGGGTTCTTCTATGATTAAGTGTATTCTGTCCCATTGACCCATCAGAGTATCCATGTGGCAAAGTCACTTTCTTAACTACTATGGATTTCTCAGAATATTTTTTTAAAAGTTTGCCTAATGATGTGTATGCTTGTATCTGCGTTGGTATGCGCATCTGAGTACAGGTGAGCATGGAAGCCAGAGGCATTGGATCATCCTGGAGTTGGAATTAGAGGCAGCTGTGAACTGCCCAGTGTGGGTGTTAAGAACTGAACTTAGGTCCTCTTCAAGAGGCCTATGTCTCTGAACAACTGGTCGCTCCATCCAAAAGAATTATCATAATTCTCAACATCCATTGGGCAACTCTTTCATCCTCGTTCTGTCTTCTTATGAGCATCTTAGTGCATCTTGGTCTTTTTCTATCTAAATATGAAGGCTGCACACAAAACAGAATTTCATGCGACAGCATTGGACCTCTAGAGCAATTTGAGGATCCCTGATACCCTTTGGCCTTTGACCCTATCCACATAAAAGCTATCACTCTACTAGGTTAAGTCTTTCTGCATTGTTTTGATTTATCTATCTTAAAATTAATATATTTTGCCTGCTTTTTTACTGGATTCCTTCTAAATTGCTAACATTTCATTGATATCTCAAAAGGTATTTTAAAAAGTTATATTTTCTTCTTATTGCTGTTCCATAAAAATGTAATTGATTATTACAGAATCTAGTATTCTACCAACTTTTTATTCAACCTCATAACATGCTCAGCTATTTGGGCTGGCAAGATAGCTTAGTGGCAAGCAGTGCTCACCCAGCAGACTGATGACCCGAGTTCGAGTCCCAGAAGTTCTATGAAGGTGTCAGGGAAGGACTGACTACAGAGCAATGTGTTTTGGTCCCCACAAGTGTGTGTTGTAACATGTCCTTCCCACTACACATCTCACATGGACACACACAGGTGTTCACACATGCACACACATATGTGAAGTTGGAGTTATTGATCTTAGTGTGCCTCTGTTCATCCTTTAGAGACAATGTCTCACATTATTAAGCAGATGTCTCTCAAACCCAGGGGTTCAATTGCTCCACCAAGTGACTTAGGACTATTGACATTGTGACGTCTTTTCTGGATTCGGTTTTTGTATATACACATGTGCAAAATGAGGGCCATTCAAATAATATAGTCTGTGCGAAACGAACTTTTATTATTGTATTTTATTTATTATATACTGCAATAAATATATATGCTATTATATATATGAGCTATGAAAGTTCATCACTTTTCAAAATGCCTGACAGGTAGCCAGGCGTGGTGCCATTCACCTTTAATCCTGGTGCTAGGAGGCAGAGATAAGCAGATCTCTGTGAGCTGTTCTACGCAACACATTCTAGGACAGCCAGTGACATGTAGAGAAACTCTATCTTGTATAACAAACAAACAAAAACCCCTGATGTGTAAGCACTTTAATGATTTGAGGAATGCATCCCAGGGCCCGGTAAGGTGGTGGGACACGCTTTTAATACCAGTACTCTGGAGGTAGAGGTAGTTGGATCTCTTTGAGGTTAGGCAAGCTTTTTCTACAGAGAGAGTTCCAGGATGGCTAGAAGTATTTCACAAAGAAAACCTGTCAAAAAAAAAGGAAGGAAGGAAGGAAGAAAGAAAGAAAGAAAGAAAGAAAGAAAGAAAGAAAGAAAGAAAGAACGAACACAACACACTCCAGGATCTTCAAATATTTATCAAGGACCTCCTATTTTTAGATATTGTCTAGGGTTCTGTCTACACACACACACACATACACACACAGAGTCATAAACAGTCACACACACATTCTTTCCATCTTGTAGATGTTAACAACATTTTGAGAGTTAGTGATGGGCATAACTCATTGTAAATTGTAATTATCAGCATATGAATATAATATGACACAACACAGGATTACAGTTAGGATCCTTTATGACAAGTTTTCTAAAACCATTCATAGAAAGACAGTTAATTCCTAGAATTTTTCTGTACAACAGGCAGTATTTCTAAAATGGTGTCAAACTTTTAATCATGTTATAGAAACCCACTTGGTGGGGTTAGGGATTTGAAAGTTACTTATTAGGCTTCTGATATGAAGAAGGAAACAGAACCAGGAATCTGATTCTCCTTTTATTAATAAATCTCAAGTACAGCCTTGGCTTCAGCTCGCCCGTTTCAGAGAGAACAATCAACAGGTGTCATAGGCCACTAGAGTGCTGTCTCCATGACTGTCTTGTCAGAGGCAGAGCCTTGAAGCACTAAGAGCTGACAGTCCTCGAACAATGGCCTTCTTCTTCAGGAATTTCAATCCAGTGATATATTTGACATAGTTAAAATTGTCAATTTTTAACCTCTCAAGATGACAGGTCGGCAAAAAATTAATGGATGAGGCTAACAGATAATAATTAATTACTGCAAAGCTAGAAAAGAGAAATCCCGAAAGACAGACATTTGTCAATTTCTTCTTGTTTTGTTGTTAAATTTTCCTGTATGTATGTTGCGAGACTAGTTTTTAAAAAGTCTGTTTCTAGACAAACTGTAGTGCATTGTGAAATCAAAATAAGTTGACTCTAGTCAAATTTTTGAAATTTGAGAAATAGTAAGGATTGGTGATATAATGACTACATGACATTTTGACTCTAATTCATTGAATCTCTCTCTTCCTGGAGAAATTTCAGTCTGGTTATGAAAAGATAAATTAAACCTGGACTAGCTTATAAATACATAAGTATAGCTCTGTATGTATAATTTAATATAAAAAGTATGTGTTTTATTGTTGGCAAGTTGAGTTCTGTGGAAATAGAGTGCTCCTGTGATTAAAGAGAAAGTTTAATTCTGAGAGCATGTAGACCAACAGGTCTAGGGAAGAGAAAAGGAGATATGTGATTAGAAAATAGTTAAACCAAGCCAAGAAGAGGAAACAGTATATATGTTTATATGGGAAAGTGCCGAGATGGGAAATTATATTCAAGACACAGAGAAGGCCAATAATGTATGCTGTGGATTAAGCTTATAATAACAATGCTGATTGGCCTATAGCATGGCAGAAAGAGATTGGGCAAGACAGCCTGACACAGGGAGAATGCTGGGAAAGAAGGGCAGAGTCAAGGCTATTTCAAGAGACCAGCCAGCTCTCAGCAAGCAGGATGTGCAAAAAATGAGGTAACAAAATGCAAGCCCCAATGGCAAAGCATAAATAGAAACATGGGTAAATTTAAATGTAAGAATTAGCTAGTAACAAGCCTGAGCTATTGGCCAAGCATTTATAATTTATATTCAGTCTCTGAGTCGTTTATCTGGGACCATGCAGTCGGGACAGAAAGTGTACATTTACAAATGTAATGTGAGAAAGCAGGAAAGGACAAGACACAAAGTTAAAAGTGATGGGAAACCATGAAATCACAGAGCATGGCAGGCCATTTTGAAGACTTTGACCTTTCCCTAGAGTGGTTAG